AGAAAATTAGCATAGATGGAGAATACCAAATATGAAAGAAATCAGAATGCACTAGATAAGAAAAATTTTAAATATGTAAAAACAAAACTGAATGCAAAAGACCTAAAAGCAATGGCAAGAAAATGCCTTCACTTTATCAATGCTGATTGCAATCAAATTTATCGCCACTCTTTTGGGGGAAAAGGGAGGTCTAGACCTGTGAATTTATTTGTATAAGGAACGCCCACTTTGGATATTCTTTCTACCAATGAAATAAGCTGGGTCTTGATTACTATACCATTTTGTCTCTCATCATTCTAATACTCTTGTCACTAGAATTCTAGAACATATGTGCAGTACTAAAAAAGTGTGCTGGGTCAGAGGAAAAAAAGTTAGTGGGCTTACTTGTTTTATCCTAGTTTCCAAAGCAAAGTAAACCACAGTGAAACTGCGCTTACTTTATCACCTACTCACTCAACCTGCAATATACCTCTATCCCCATCATTCTAATGAAACTAAAATTTCAGAGCAGCTAGGTGGTGCAGTAGATAGAGCTCCAGCCTTGGAGTCAGGAGGACCTGAGTTCAAATCCAGCCTCAGACACTTGACACCCTGGACAAGTCACTTAACCCCAACTGCCTCACCAAAAAGCAAAAACCAACCAAAGGAAAAAAACCCCATAAAATTTCAGTATCTGCTAATGACCACTGTATATTTTCTAAATCCAATAGTCTTTTTCCTCATTTATCCTTGACCTTTTTGGAGTACTTGATGTGGGGATAAACCTTCGTCTTCCTGATAACTTTCCTCCTCTGGCCTTTATGACACCACCAACTCTGACTACTAGAAGTCTATTTTCTTACTTTCTTATTTTTCCCTAGTCCTTTAATGTGGGATTCCGCAAGATTCTGTACTTGGCCCTCTTTTTTTTTTAATCCACTCCCATGGATTCACTGATCACCTCTAAGCAGATAACTCTCATACCTGTATCTTTACCCATAATAATACCCCAGAGCTCCAGTCCCATATTTTCAACTGAGAGATGGAAACTTCTACCTGGATATTCACCAGTACCTCAAAAATTCCATGTGTTCAAAACTGAAATCATCCTCTGCACACCACAACCACCCCTTTCCACTAACTTTTCTACTTCTGCTGGTAGCACCACTATTCTCTTGTTTATCTAGGCTTTTAAACTTCAGACACATCATCTAGTCTTTCTTCCCTCTTATTTCTTACCTTTAATCAGGTGCCAATCCTTGGCATTTCTATTTCCACAATCTATTTCTCTCTCCCTTCCCTATACTTTCATACAAACTTCCTTGCTTCAGGTCTACTTAATATTTTGCCTGCCTAAATCATTTTTAACAGAACCTTAACTTGTCTCCTTGCCTCCAGTCTATCCATTCTCCATCTTATTCTTACCACTGTTACACTTAATTACAAAGAACAAAACCCCAAAACATTTAAGTATTTAATCAGAAGGAACTACGGAGATACAGAGAAAAAACAAAAATGCTCCTGTCTCAAGAAGTTCATATTCTATTCAACCTGCTGACTTCCCAGTGACTGCCAAAAACATGATAATGGTATTCAAGGCCCTACACAATTTGGTTCCAACTTACTTTTTCAGCTTTGTCTAATATTATTAGTCACCAAACACTTTATATACATATTGTTGTCAATACTGCTTCCAATTTCTGGAATAATCCACCCCTCCCTCTCCCTCATTCAAGGCCTAACTCAAGACAACACCTCTTCTTTGAAGCTGTTCCTTACTTTCCCAACCAAAATTGATCTCTGCATCATCAAATTTCTCATAGCATTTTTTTCCACTTTTCACTCTACACAATCTTTATCATACCTATCTTTGCATCCTGAACACCATACTCAGTACTTTGTACATGGTAACTGCTTAATAAATATTTGTTGAAACAAAGAGGAATTTACAATAGGCTACTTTATGTTTTTTGAGACAGAACAGAGTAGTATAATGTAGAGGCTGGCCAAAAACCACACTTAGTTGGTGATTAAGAAATTTTCCTAACATTAAAATGTTCAATTGCCAGACCACTTACCTTTCAAATTGTTCACTCTCTATAAATTAAACTTAGCTTTCCAAATTCCTTTTTTTGGTAACCTAATACTTTCTCTTTGAAAAAATACTGACACTCAAATACCCTGGTTTCAGAACCACCACCTCTCTCCTTGTTCTTCTACTTCCAAGTGATTTTTTATCCTCTTTCCAAACTCTTAATTTGGATCTTCTTAAAGGATTTTCCCTGCCCTCTTTTCTCTCTACAACCTCTTTCTTGGTAATCTCATTCACTTCACTGATGTAAAATCACCATCTCTATTGTTATGACTCTCAAGTCCATATACCTGCAGCTCTGACCTTTTTTCTGAGCTCCAGATCCACATCTCTATTTCACGACATCACAACCTGGACATGTGACCAGTATCTTAAACTCAACTGTTCTATTAAATTCAGCTGAATATCTAAAATTTAATACTCTAAATCAACTACTCCTGCTGACAGTGCTTTCTATCTGTGACTCTACCATTTTCCCTGTCTCAGCCATAATCTTAACTTTTGGCTTGATTTGCCTTTTCCCCTTGTCTTCACTTTTTCCACCCAAATATTTAGCAAGCAGTATCAACCCCACCTCTACAGCATCTCTTGGACCTTCCCTTCCTCTCCATTCTTAATACTGCCATCATACTAAAGGCCCTCACTGCTACCCACTTAAAAATGGTTATAAAGAAATCCTTAAATATTTCCTAAACAAAATCTGTCTCTTCATTTGAACTCATCCTTCATGTCACCATTAGACTAATCTTATGCACAGATCTGATCATGTCACTCTGCTCAAAAATCCACAGTGACTATTGATTAATGTACAAGTTACCATGAGTGGGGAGTGGGTACTCAAGGTTCTCTACGATCTGGCATCACCTTACTTTTCCAGCCACAGCTCACACCACTTCTTTCCATTTACTCTATGTTCTAGCCAAACTGGACAAACAGAAATAGTATCCCAATTTCACACACTGTGTTCTTTGCTTACATGTTTTTCTCAGGCTGATACCTATACACAATACGTCCTCTCTTTTCTATTCTTTGTTGAATGAATTGCTCTTTTCATTACTTAGAAGTCCATGTTATCTTCCTAAACTTACTCTGATTCCCTTGGGGCAATCTAACAACTTGGCACCCCTAGACCTCACAGAACTTTATTTTATAACCTTTTAATGTACTTTTCATTGAATTATATTTATACAGGGTGCCTCAAAAGTCTTAAGTCAGTTTTAAGCCTTAATAGCTAAAAACTGCCCTAAGACTGATCCTGCATGTGTTGCTCTTACCTTCTTTTATTAGGCTATAAGCCCCCTAAAGGCTTTGTACCTCTTGCTCAATGCCTAGCAAAGTGCTGTGCACACAGCAGGTGCTAATAAATGTATGTTATATCACATATCAGTGTACTTCAATACACCTTCTGGAAACAATCATTTACGCAGCATCCATAAAAAAAATTATCTATTTGATCAATATGACCAACCAACCACAAGTATAGAGGATCAACAATGACACATGTCACCCACCTCCTAACAGAGGTGATGGAATCTGAATGAGATATGTTTTTTGGCTATGGCCAATATAGAAACTTGTTTTGCTTAACTATGCATATTTGTTACTAGGGTTTTTTCTTTTTTCAATGGAGAGAAGGGAGTATATGAGAGAGAAACAGGAAAGAGACAGAAAATATAGATTATTATTTGAAGAAAAGTAAAAATTTAAAACTATCCAAAACAAAGCTATGTGATGGCTATGACTCATCCTTAAAAATAAATGATCGTTTTTACTTTATAGGACTTTTTTTGCTTATTAAATATAATTTAGATTAGTCAACAAATAATAAAGGTGTCTTACGTAACCCTCATCTTCAAGCTTCCATTCAACAAAGGGAAGATAGGTCCACCAATTTTAAGCCCTTCCTCCTTCACAGTTCACAGAATAAAGCATTGAAATATTTTTCCCATGTCATAATATGTATGTGCATACATGCCCATATGCAAGTTTTTAAGTGTATGCAATCACAGGCATGCCAATTCTTACTGATGAAATCTTTATTTCTATTCTGGTTATGGGAGTTAGGAGCAGTTTTTGTAGGGGCAGAGAAATACCTATTATAGTGGTATATGTTATGGCAATTTGTTCCAAATTTTCAGTGGACTGTATTAACAAAAATTGGATTTACTCCATTTATTAAAGTGGAATGAACCAAAAATTCAGATTTGCACCCTTTTATATACCAAAAGCAAATTAATATTAATAAAATTTGATCAAATCCTAAAAAGATTCATGAAGCTTTTCAAAGAATCACAACACTTCTAAGTTGGGAAAGTCTGAAGTAGCCACATGTACAATCCATACCTGAGAAAGAATTTCCTCAACAACATATTCAAATGTTTATGTTGCCTTGGTTGGAATCTCTTTAAGAAGAGGGAACTTGCTATGTTCCAAGGAAACCTCACTCCACTTTGGATAGAGCTCTTGTAGGAAGTTTCTTTTTGTATCACGATTAAACTTGCCTTTCTACGGCTTTCCTGTACTGCTCCTAATTTTAGCAAACTCTCTTAACCACAGAAATGAAGCACAGCAAGGAATAACTAGGAAAATGAAGCATTTTGATACTTTAAGTAGGAAATATGTAATCAGTATTTGAGATCTATCATCTTGACATAATGACTACAGAAAACTGACAACAGTCTGTATGCTGAACAATTTGCCATCACTTCTTTTATTTGTTTTCTTTGGTGGCACATCATTTCATTGTTGGCCCATGGTAATCCTTTACACCGGGCACCAGGAAGCTAGCTGTTTTCAGTGGAACTCTGGGCAATTCAAATAGTTCAGGCACTGGCCATTCCACTCCCCTTTTCAAAAGAAAGGGAAGCCTTCCTACTACTACTTTTCTTAATTGTTTAAGATCACACATAGTAACTTCCAAAACGTTTACCTTGTTTCTGTTCACAGTTCACAGCACATCCCAAAATGAGTTGAAGCATCCTTCCAAGCTCTGCAGCATCTGAGTGTTCCCCAATAAGATTAACATCAGGAAGTGTAAAATCATTAATCTGCTGTCCTAAAATCTGAAGAGGGGGAAAAAAATCCCATTTATGTATCTATGTTAAAATGAAGAGATCCAAACAAGATCTTCAAATGAGATGTCAGTACCAGAATCTGGACTTGGCTGTAAGGGTGAGTATCCTATAATTCAAACCAACTGTCTTGGCCCTTTCCTTCCCTTTTACCTAGTATAGTGCCCTGTACGTAGCAGGCATTTAATAAACATTTGTTGAAAAGTTTAGGTTGTTTTAAGGACTCTTTATCACCTGATTTTTCCATCTCTTTTGAATTTAACATGGCCAGCAATTATGCTGGCAAATAAAAACAAATCCCTCAAACCCCTTACCTCATGGTTGTAATCCAGAATGCCTTTTAAAATTTTCTTCAAATTGCTTATCTGTTCAAAGAAAGAGAAAAGATAGTTGAATAAAAGTACAACTCAAGTTAAGTCCAACTATATTTCAAGACATGTTTGTGGATGACCAATGATTTTAGTCAAATAAGGTGATATTTTTAAAAATCTTGTTACCATATTTGGGTTGTTACCTTCATGGTATCAAAGAATATATTTTCTTTATGTATTGACACTGCTGCAGGAAAAGAACATGTAAGTACTTCCTTGCTGAGTTTAATGCATGTCTATTTTGAACTCTCTATGTGTGTATTCAACACTCCTTTATCCAGTTCAGTCAAGAGGTATATTATATGATGCTTGCTTCCTGAATCCCTTTCCCTATGTTTATATGCTTCTTCTTGAGCATAATACTTTGGCAAAATAAACTCCTCTCTCCTCTTAATTTATTTCCTAGAGTATTCCTTCTCCCCTCATTTTTCTTTCCTTTATTAAAACCAAAGGAACAAGGGGCAGCTAGATGGCACAGTGGATAGAGCACCGGCCCTGGATTCAGGACAACATGAGTTCAAATCCGGCCTCAGACACATAACACTTACTAAGCTGTGTGACCCTGGGCAAGTCACTTAACCCCACTGCCTAACCAAAAAATAAACAAACAAACAAAAAACCCAAAAGAACAAACAAAACTATACTCAGCCCCATGTAGCTAGGTGACAAAGTAGATAGAGCACTCTTACAGATTCCATGAGTTTTCTCCATCCTGTTTTTCAAGGATTCCATAGGGTAATGTCTTCTACCTTCTTTTTTAAGCTATTTCTTCTTCCAGTTTTTTTCATTCCTAAATCTTATTTCACTTTTTATCTTTTAGCTTTATTTCTTCTAGCCACTCTGGTAGTCTTTGTGACTAAGCCATTTTTTTTCCTTAAAGAGTTGTTCACTTTGTAGATGCTACAGGGTTACTCCTTTCTTCTGGGTTTATCACTTGGATTTCCCTTATTCCACAGTACAGGCATATCTTGGAGATACTGAAGGTTCAGTTCCAGATCTCCACAATAAAGCAAGTTACATTAATTTTTTGGTTTCCCAGTACAAATAAAAATGATGTTTATACTATACTATAGTCTATTAAGTATGTAGTAGTAGTAGTACGTCTAAAAAACCCAATATATTTAATTTAAATATTTAATTTAACTTATAACTTAATTTAAGAATACTCTTGCTAAAAAATGCTAACCATCATGTTGAGTCTTCAGCAAGTCAATCTTTTCGCTGGTAGAGGGTATTGATGGCTGCTGACTGATGAGGATGATGACTGCTGAAGGCTTAGGTGGCTGTGGCAATTCTTAAAATAAGACAAAAATGAAATTTGTCACATGGACTGACTCTTCCTTTCACTAGAACACTCAGAGGCCATTGTGGATCGTAAGTGGCCTAATTTCAATACTGCTGTGTCTTCAGGGGATAGGGAGGCCCAAGCAGAGGGAGAGAAATAGGACCAGGTGGTTGGTGGAGCAGTCAGAACACACACGTTTATTAAGTTTCCTGTCTTTTATGGGCATGGTTCATGGGGCCCCAAAACAATTATAATAGCAACATAAAAGATCACTGATCACAGTAACAGATGTAATAATGAAAAAGTTTGAAGTATTGCAAGAATGACCAAAATGTGACACAGAGATATGATGTGAACACATGCTACTGGAAAAATAGTGCAGAAAGTCTTGCACAGGGTTGGCACAAATCTTCAATATGTAAAAAAATGCAAAGTCTTCAAAGCACAATAAGACGAGGTACGCCTGTATTTCTTCATTGTTTAGTGTCTTTTGCTTACTCATATTTTCAGCCTCAGTTCTTGGATTGGGATTTTGTGTTTGGACTAGTCTCCTCTGGCACTCCTGGATGGGCTAGGTGGATCTTAATTGGTCTGCTTGCCCCTGCAGTCTGTGTTACTGCCTATTTGGATGGATGTGGCTAGTATGAAGCCCCACCATCTTCAATTGCTGGTTTCTGTTTTAAGTTTCCTAGCAGAAGAATGCAGGTTCAGGTTCAGGTCCAGATTGGTCTCTTTCTCTTTGCATGATTCTTAGTTAGGAGTTGGTTACATCCTCTCTTGTGTTATTAACAGGGAGCAATGAGATGCTGGAAATCATATGAGTTTGAGGTCTCTTACAAATCCCTGCTGGTACACTGGTGCTGATTTGGCCCTGTCTCCTGCTATGGTTTTAGGACTCTGAAGAGTGTATGGCTGGGCCACTTCCTTGGCTCAGCTTTCTACTGGGGCTGGTTCTATCCTTCACTTCTATTCTAACAGGCCAGCACAGGATCTGGTGCTGGCTTGTTATAGTACTGTTCAGAATGCCAACTGGCCTTAGGTCTATTTTCAGGAGTTCTCCCTAGCTTACTTCTTCTCTCCAGCTCTGCTAGCTTTTGGCCCAGGTACTAGAGTTTAGGCTGCTTTACTTGGCAAAAGCTTATCACCCAGGCTTCACCACCATGTTTGCTTGAACTACCTTTCCTGTTCCAACCCCACTATCAGTTTCTGTATTCTTCTGGCCATCTTTTTGTGCAGTTCTGGACTTCACAGAAGCTTACTTCTAATTTCTTTCTGTATTTTTAAAAAATTTTCATTATTCTATGTGATCCCTTGTTTGAATTTTGGGGAGAATTTCTGTGGGAGCCCTCTGCCTTTCTATGACTTTTCATGTTACCATTTCTATTTATTTATTTATTTGTTTGTTTGTTTGTTTTTTGGTTTGGCTAGGCAACGGGGTTAAGTGACTTGCCCAGGGTCACACAGATATTAAGTGTTATGTGTCTGAGGCCACATTTGAACTCAGGTCCTCCTGAATCCAGGGCCCATGCATTATCTACTGTGCCACCTAGCTGCCCTAATGTTAACATTTTTAACCAAACTTCAAGGTTAATTCTTCACTTCGTATTTAAAAGAAAAGATGAAATGTGTTTATTAGTGTAACTATTACTAAATGGACTGTCTTTTAGATCAGAAATATCAAAATGCAGCAGGAGTGGCAGATTCAGATTAAAATATGATTAGGAAATATTTAACAATATAAACAAAAATAAAATACAACATACATAATGCTAATTTGTGGTTTTATAAGCAACATGCCACACAAGGATCCATTTCTATTTGAGTTTGACACCACTGCTTTAGATGACTATACAATCCTACCACAAATAACAACTTAAAAGTTATTTCTCAAGGAGTGATAAAGCTGTGCTATAAGAAATGATGAGAAGGATGCTTTCAGAAAAACCTGGGAAGACTTACATGAACTGATGCAAAGTGAAGTGAGCAGAACCAAGAGAATATTGTACACAGTGACAGCAATACCATATGATTATTAACTGTGAATGACTTACTCTCAGCGATAGTGGTCTAAGATAATTCCAAAGGACTCATGAGGAAAAATGCTATCCATCTCCAAAAAAAGAGCTGAGGGGAGTCTGAATGCAGATAAAAGCATTTTTTTAAATTAAACTTTATTTTTCATGGGGTTTTTTTTGTTTGTGTTTTCTTTCACAACATGACTAATATGGAAATATGTTTAGTATGACTCTACATGTATAATCTATATCAAAATCCTTGCCTTCTCAATGAAGGGGGAGGGGAGGAAGAGAATTTGGAACTCAAAATTTTAAGAAACAAATGTAAAAATTATTTTTACATGTAATTGGGGAAAAAAATACTTGGGGAAAAAAAAAGAAAGAAAAAGGATTTAAAGTTGAAAAGGGTCTTAAAGACCATCCAGTCTAACCCCTTCATTTTACAGATCAACAAACCCCTTCATTTTACAGATCAACAAACAGCGATCTGTCCAAATTCACACAGTATGTAGTAAGTGGTAGAGCTGGGATTAGAAATCAGATTCCAAATCCAGTAAGTGCCCTTTCTACCATACCATACTCCTCCAAATCTAAAGAGCTCACATAACAGCAATACACTAATAAACCCAAGTATCAGAGACAGACAAGTAGTGACGGATACATTTGTAGGTGGAAAAATAGGAAAATACCTTTAATCTCCAATTATCTCCCACTTCTGTTTTGATTCTATTTAGCCAATTTTCATCAAAATATACAGGATCTCTGCAAATAAGAAAAAGCTGGTTTATTAATAGTAGATTTTAAGATCAAAGTAAATAGGGATTTCCTCCTATAACATTATAGCAATTCAACATAAAAAACCTGTTATATTAAAGAAATCAATAAACATATACATGAAACTACATACAATAATATTTTTCAGAAGACTAACTGGAAGTGCTAATAGTTTATAAATTACGAATTTTATCAGAACAACAAACAAAAGGAGATAAATGACACCAGAGTAATGGTGTTTTTTTTTTTTAGTGAGGCAACTGGGGTTAAGTTACCTGCCCAGAGTCAAACAGCTAGGAAGTATTATGTGTCTGAGGCCAGATTTGAACTCAGGTCCTCTTGACTGCAGGGCCGGTGCTCTATCTACTGCACCACCTAGCTGCCCCCAGAGTAATGTTTTTAAATAAACAAATTAGTCCCTACAAAAGGAAGTACACTAAACTGGAAAGGGATAGGGTACAAATACCATGCTAATTTCTAAATATGTTTAAATGCTACTAAAATGCTCTCTTTATTAAGAAAACATTACCAATCAGGAAAAAAAATGAAACAAATTAAGGTTAAATTAACCTCTGAATACTTCAAGCAATGCCATCCTATAATAATTCAAAGATCAATAATGTCATTATTTTATACTTTTCAAATATCATTTTAGGAAACACCTATCACTTATTAACATTATAGCTAGTAATAATTTATAAATCAAACTGGAAAGATATAGCTCTTGTTCTCTAGAGACTTAAAATCCAAGAGAACACAAAGCCAAGTGCTAAAACCTAGATATACTACAGCTTCAATTGCACTTCAGTCAATTCATATTTTTTTCTCTATACAATAACGGACAACTCTCTTTCAACAACAAATAATATCTGTGCTATAAGCTTTAGGTTTCTCACTATCAGAATCAAGATCATCTAGATGCATACAAATGGAACAAGCCAAGACTTTAAGTTAAAAGATCTGGTTCTAGTCCTAGCTCTAGGTCTTACTAGCTGTAGGAGGGTAAGTCACTTAATCTTTCTAAGCTTATGTTGTATCTGTAAAACGGAGATCATGCCATCTGCAGTACTTACTTAAAATTATAAAATCACAGTACACTGGAGCTCAGTGAAACCAAGGAAATCAATTAGTCCACATCTTTCATTTTACTGATGAGGGAGCTGATCTCCACATGTAAGTACAGTGACTTAGCTAAAGTTAAAGTGTTATAATGATCAATGAGATGGCATTATATGTTAAGTGCTTTGTAACGGTACATTGTTATATAAATACAAATTACTATTATTCAGTGCATAAATAGATAAGATACGAGATCAATATTGCAGATAAAGAAAAGGACACAGCCATCCAAAGGAAATGAGAAAGAAATGCTAACTTTCAGCTGATTATAACTAAAAGGAAATTCTCTTTCTCCTTAGAAAAACTATGTGAATGGTAATATAGCACGCTGAAACTTGCAATGCACTTTAGCAACATTATCTCATTTAATCCTTATGACAGTTCTGTGAGGCTGTCAGTCAACAAGCATTTATGGAGCATTCTACTATGTGCCAGGCACTGTACTAAGGTAGGAATGAAAAACATCATGGTACAGTAGAAAAGAACAATGGGTTTGGCGTCAATCAGTCACTTATCTTTATGACCTTCCGGCACATCATTCAACCTCTCTGGGGCTCAGTTTCCTTTTCTGTAAAATGAGGTCTCTTAAGGTTCCTTCCTTAGAGACTACTATATTTAAGTATCCAAAATTTGTATACTATTAGACCCATTATACAGAAGAGAAAAGGAATAGATCACAGGATTTAAAGTACTTAGGTTACAGTATGGATGGGGTAAAATTTTTAAGAAAACAAATCTTTTTCAATCTGTGTTCATAAATTAGCTTCTAAATTCAGGTGTGTGTGTGTGTGTGTGTGTGTGTGTGTGTGTGTGTGTGTGTGAAATTAACAACTGTGTACATTTAACTGTAATATTTCAGGTAGAAAACACAAAAGTTTAAATATAGCTAATATTAATGAAATACATAGACTAATTTTTTTTCAGGTTTGAAATAGGTCACACGAATTTAAAGTTACACTTATTGCCATTCAGCTCCCAGCACTGGTTATGGCAGAGAGAGCAGCTAGGAGTTCAAATGGTCTGTAAACTGAAACAGGCTGTGTCTTTTATAAGCTTAAAGCGCTAGATGAATGTGAGTTATTACCAGAGAAACTTTCAAGGACAACCACTCCATAGAAATCGCTTACTAGAATTTCATGGAGTCATATATTAATTTCAAGGAAAATTAATCCTTAATTTAAAAAAATTGACAGTCTTGTGTTTTCAATGATTCCTATCACATGTGGTCAATTAGTTGGAACACCTAGCTTCCCAGATTGTCTGCCTCAGCTGAACTGCTGAGAAGCCATTTACTGTTTGGCAACAATCAGCACCTAGCTAAGTGGGCCATAAACTGCATCGAAACATAAGCTCCTTTGAGGGCAGGAACTCCTCTCTGTTTTGCTTTTGTATGCCCAGTTTAACACAATGCCTTGTACATATGTTAGGTGCTTAATAAATGCTTACTGGATTTGAACAAAAGGTAAGCAAACCATTATTTTGGAAACAAAAATATTTTAGCAATTTCTTTACTAAAGAACGAGTTATCAGACAGCAACCACACATTCCAGAGTACACTCTGAAAAGGCCCCGTTACTAAAGTAAGAACAATATATGGTAAGAGAACTGGCAATAATACTTCAGAATCTCTAATACTCAGACAGAAATGTCCACTTTTATTTTTTGGTGACTTTTTTCAGTAATAGTATCATTATTAAAATAGACTACCATGTCCAAAATTATTATATATGAGATTTTTTTCTGATGTGTAAGACATACTGAGCGATCATTAGATCTGGGGGGACAAATCTTTTTTTTTAATAAAACCTATCTTTTAAAATGGAAGCTAAACATGGATTATTTTAAAGCTATATGGAATATTAAGGAACAGACTCCTGAAGTGTGATTCTAAAGCGCTACATGTAGCCAGGGCTCATCTGGCAAAAAATATAGTCCTAGGAAAAGTACTGGGTTAATTTAAACTGATTCTCTTCCCTTTTTGCTTCAATTATTGGTATTTTCAGAAGTAAAATGCCTGTGTAACAATCACAAAATATTTAAATATTTGAGAAGAATTTAACATTATCTTTTCATTAAGTACAAAACCCCCTCAAACTAATTAGCCTACCTTGATTAGGTCATTTTATCCCTACCTTATACTACACAAAACATATCCAGAAACTCCTTTGTCTGCTATTAAGAAACAGCATATCCCATACTTAAGTTCATCATACCTAAGTGGAAATGCTTTTCACATCCTACATATTCAGAACATCTTCATCCGGAAGACTAGGTACTGCTACTTTGACAGAGGTTGGATACTGTTTGATTCCATTCATACTTTGGGCCCTACTGCTAGCTGTACAATAATTGATTAACATATTTCCATGTTCAGAATATTGTTGGTGTGAACACTGTGCCAGTGCTCAAGAAAATCTTTTCATTTTAAATTGTTCTAGAAACAGTGAAATTAATATTTGGAAGAGAAACAAAAGGATGTTTGTGTAGACTTTCCTTTCCAAGAAAATTTTACTCACAAAGGATACATCTTGTTTTAAAAGTTAGCAGCTTTTTCTCACCACAAATAACTGCTATCAAAATCTTAATTTTTAGACAGAACATTGATTTAAATACATAATGCACCATAACTCAGAGCTCTGAATAATTAACAGACACTACTAACTAAGTGTCCCATAGGTCACTCAAAGCCTTGATTCTTAACTTAAGCTGGATTGTTATTCAAATGCTGGATTGTATGTATAGAATATATAATGTACAGTGAAATAAGTTATTAGAGCATGTGCAGACTCTATGTTGTATATATTGTTTTTTCAGGCAAGAGGATTTTGAATAAAATGGCTTTTAAATTTAAAAAAAAGAAAAAAAGAAAAAGCCTATCCTGACTTAACAAATATTCTAGTTAACACACAATTATCATATAACATATAGATTACTATTTCTTTTTAAAGAAAGAGATATAAAATATAGTGTAGGAAGACAGTATCATGTAATGGAAATAACAGAACCGGAAATCAAGAGAATCCTTAAATCCTGCATTGTCACATTCCAGATAAGCAGCCTTTGACAAATTATTCAACCTCTTTATATCAACTACTTTATGAAGAAAATGAGCACAATAATGCATGGTTTACCTATGAGAAAAGATTTTGTGAAGATAAAATAAAAAACATATGTATGAAAGTAATTTGAAAAGCCCTAAACAAATCAGGTATTAAATTTAACTTTTATCTTCCTTTGAGGATTAAGCACTTTGGAACTGTGATGATAATACTTGGGTTGTCAACGTATTATGCTAAAGTCCCAGTTGACAAGATTTCCAGTTGATATACTCCATAAAAATCAGTTGTTTTTGTAAGATCTGCTTCAAGTTACCTAATCACAATATCCTCATGACTAGATTTTTCATTTACCATAGGATTATACATTTAGAACTGTTAAGAGGTTCAATTCCCTCATTTTAGAGAAGAGGCGCTGAGGTCCACAGACATTAAGTGATCTTCCCAAAGTTGTGAAGAGTTTATGTTCAAACCCATGTCTACTTCCTCCAAATCCAGCAGTCCCTTCACTGTACCACTCTCCTCTCGAAAGAAAGTATGCATTTTTTTTCTTACAGGGGGCAGAGCCAAGATGGCAGAGTAAAAGCAGTGACTTGCTTGAGTTCTCCCACAAACCCCTCCAAATACCTGTAAAAAATGGCTCTAAACAAGTTCTAAAGCAGCAGAACCCACAAACAGACAGAGTGAAACAAATTTACAGCCCAAGACAGCCTGGATGGTTGATGGGAAAGGTATATCACATAAGGCTGGGGGAGGAGTGCAGTTCAGTGTGGGCGTGCAGGCCCCAGTGAACTTGGAGCAGGCCTCAGAGGA